CACAGAGTACGTGATGAAGTTAAGAGAAATATCCAACAGCTGCTTTGCTGCACAATTCTACAAAATGAAATGACATCCTGCAGGAAAAATAGTACAGGCTCATTTACTACCCAGGAGGGCAGAGTTGAGGTTACAGGGACTATAACAGTGTTGTCATTTCCTTACTCCCAGGAGCTGCATTTTCCAACTTGATGGCTTTCCTAATGTAATTGCATTTTATGCGATGATTTTTTAGAGCCCGATTCTTGCTGGAGTAAATCAGGAGGAACCCTGGCAAAGCCAATGAAGTGATCTCACTGCAACAATGATAGGAGTCACAGCGTGCTCAGTCCCTCATCTTCTTCTCCAAATTCTGCAACAGATGCCCCATGCTGGAACAGCAAGTAGGTATCAGATGAAAACATGAAACAATGACAGCAGAGCATTTTTTCAGTAGCCACATCATATTATGTCACTGATGTCAGGTTGAGTTACATTAGTCTGCTTTTCATTATGTTGTGTTATGCCTTTTGACATAATGCAACACACTGTAAGTAACATAAAGTGACCTCCAAGTATACAAGAGAACACAGTTTTTGTCAGGTTAGATAGTGGCTATGAATCATTAGAGAGAGGGGTAAGCCAGAGAAGGAGAGAGAGAGAGGTTTGGATTCAGTGTCCTGAACAACAAATGCACAGTACTTAATTAACAGTTACAGCAGCCCTGGCATTTCCAAGTAGGTGTTTGTGACTCTGCTCAATGGAGAGAGAAGATTCTCAGTGGGATTTGCACTGTTTAATTTATTTAAAACTCTGCAGATGTACCTGTAATAGCTCTTTCTTTTCTGTACCTGAGCTGTAGGAGCTCCCTGCACACTGAACAAACGGCTAACTTCCCTGAGACTGGTTGCCAGGCTCCCAGATGCAGTAGTCAGAGCAGGCCGAGCAAATGGGCTTCCTGAGCAGCACACTGTGACCTGTCCTCTGCACCAGGAGTTTAACCAGCTGCTGAGAAAACTGCTGTGGGCAGAAAGAAAAGGGGAAACAGCCTGGCTCTGAAAAGAAGGGGAGCTCCTCAGTTGAAGGTGATTGAGGAAAAGTGGGTGGTTCAAGGGAGGTTGTTAATTTTCTCTCAAGGGCTTGAAATCCACCTCAGCTTGGTAGCTCTTACTGGTGGCTTTCTTGGAATAAACTGGTATTCTCATTTTAGTGCCTATTTGAGAGGCACTTGGTCTGTGCTCCTGATCCACGGTTTGCACACCTGCCAGGACTTGCAGGAGAATGTTTCCTTGTGTTTAATTCTTATTTTCATTTGGACATATCACTGAGTGTACCTGTTTCCCAGCTGCAGAATAAATGAACATCTGTGACTTAGAGGATGTTAGGAGCAGATAGCAATGAGAATAGAGGTGCCATGGCCAGAGAACAGCAGTAGCTGGCAATTCCACAAGGTGCATTGTGCCAGAGTGCCAGGATGGGTCTCACATGAGTCCTATTTTTAGATAAGGACTGGCCATGTCTTTACCCTCAGCACCCAACTAGATATCAGACAGAGAGATCAAGCCTGGTCAGTGCATGGGAAGTGGAGTCCTGTGGTATAAAGGCTGAGATGCCTCTCTTCTGAAAGTTTTGGGATTGTCCCTACAATATGGACAGGATATGGAAGGTTTTGGTTCCCAAATATGATTAACTGTCACATGCCTTCTTTTGCAGGCTTGACACTCAAAGGCATGAAGGAAAACCACTTGTGTACAGAAGAAATGATGCAATGCTGTGGTATGAAGTTGGTCTCAAAACTGAGGGTGCAATAGCCAGAACACTTACAAAGGTACTTACTGTACACTTCCTATGTAACATATTTGGCATTAGTGGCTTTTTTTCTGTCCTCACTGAACAGGTCACATTCTATTTGGCATCCCATCTCACTAGAGAATGGCCACTAAGTCCTGTCATCTGCATCTTTTTATACAGTGAAGTGTTGTATGGATCAGAAACATTTTCAGTCTCGAAGATGGAATTTGCAAAGGCACCTGAATACACTTGACGTGATGTTCCTGAGCAGCAATAGATGAGGAATCACACTTGAAAAGGTGTTTTAAGATTAAAATTTAATATTGCTAATAGTGTGCAGCATTTTGTGTGAAAAGCCACCCAGATGAGCAGTCAGAGCAGCACATGGGCTCAGAATCCAATGTGTGTCACATGCTTTTGCTTTATCATTTCTCCAACTATAAATGTAGCATCAGGTAACACTTACTTGACTTCCGGGGATGTAACATTCATTTAAGATGTGTATGAGATGCTCTCCTTGTTCCTTAGGCTATTAAAAACTAGAGGATGAGCAGTAACTTCCTCTGAACAGTGTGCCCTAAACCAGCTCAGCTCTCGCCCTGCAGAGAGCGGTGGGCTCAGACCCCTCTGCCACCAGCATCCACAGGGATCTACCCTGAAGTATCATTCTGCAGCATCAGAGAGCCCAGAGTTGACCATGAACCATTCCTGTAAGTAGTAAGTCCATAAAGGAGCTGCTACTCTGTACTTGATAAGCTCATAAAGCAAACTGCTACCCTCGGTAGGACATCAAACCTTGCTACAGCCTGACAGATACAGAGACCCAACACTGGAAAGTCTTACTGACTCTCAGGAAGCTTCCTATTATTATTTTCTTTACTAACAAGCCATTATCTTGTCTCCTTCACAGCACAGAATGTTCAAATAAACCTGCCCCTGTGACAGTCTGATTCTCTGAAGGAGTATCCTGTTCTGTTGAGTCATGTGAGAGGAAAATACAAAAAAGTGGAAAGACAGATCAAAAAGGGGGAGCAGAAAGGGCCCTGGAGGCAGACTTACGTTTGGTATTTAATATTTCAGGTAAAATATTCAGTTAGCATCAATTATCTTGTTGGATTTTTTTTTACCCCCCCGATGAAACTGCCTGCTGAATCAGCCAGCTCTCTAATTACCAGATTGAATGATTGAAATTTTTAGGGCAATTAAATTCAAGCCTTTCTTTTTCAGTCCTTATGTTATTCCCCCCTTCTCTCCCTCCCCTCTCCAGTCTGGAGCCTTTCTATAATTTGGAGGCAGTTGCAGAAGCAAGCAGACCTTTAAAGCTGAGATGTATGTCTCCCTTAATTCCTTTGTGGATTTGTTTTATAAACCAAGGAAAGAGGGTTTTTGGTCTCTCAGGACAAGTTCATTACAAACACACAGCATTGTATGGAGTTTATCCTAACATGTCATGTTTAAAAACAGCTTGGAAGGCTTCATTTAATATCAAAATTCTGTGAAAAGACAAAGATCAATGTACAAAATGCATACACTGTGGGCAAATGCCTGCAGATCAAGATAGAGAACTAAGGAGCAAATTGATAATAATGATGATTGATGATATGCTAGATAAGAGAAAACAAAACTCCCAAAGAAACAGTCCAAAGCACCTGCTAACAGAGACAAACTTGTGGAATGGCTGGATGAAAAGGTAACTGTTCTTCCAAAAAAGGACACAAAATTCACAGGATGGAATCCTGGGCCCAGTGAACTCAGAGACAAAGCTGCTGCTCACCTGGATGTCTGGTTAGGATCAGAGAAGGGGTCCTGCAGAACAAGTAGCCTTGTTCTGAAAGGTAAAATATGGGCCATTACATTGATTTCAGTGGGACTATTCCTCCCTTAAAGGTAAGCAGATGCTTAACAGCTTTGCTGAATCAGGATCTAACCCACCAAACCTGGTAAGTCTTCATCACAATGAACCTCTGAAATTATGTAGCATTTTCATCAAAAACCTTACTTTGATTTTTTCAGGGTACCAAACTCAGCCCAGCACACAAACCCAGGTCTGCTCTCCAGCAGCAGCTGCAGGCCACTGGATTTATTTTCACACTGTGTTACACGAGTTATTGGTATAACACCTCTGAAGTCAGAGTGATGAACACTAGGCTAACTTCCAACTTGTACCCATAATTTTGCTAAAGTCAGGTGACTTGTATTATGCATATTTACTACTTAATTGTCCCTGTAGGTGTTCAAGGTACTTCACAACAGCTAAAACTGTCCCTGCCCTGAAGAGCATGCAGTCCAAGCTAAGATTAGAGATCACAGCACTGTGAGGGGCTGGACCTGGAGACAGAACAAGGCCCTTTTCCAGCTAGATATTTCAACTTCTTTTTGTCTCAAAGTTCAGTGGATTGCTTAAGCACTTTCGAGACTCAAGGTTAGTGTGACTGATGTAGACAAGTATTCAGATGCTAGTGTATGCTCCTGAAAAAACTGTTGTTGCTGTTTTTAATGCTCTGGTGTTCCTGTACAGATACCCCCACAGCCTCAGGCCAGACCCTGGGGAAACAGGATGTCTTGTCCATGGAATGATGCTGTTCTGTACCAGTCCATGTCTCAGCCCATTGGGGTAATGCCAGACCTGGTTTATGGATCCGATGGAATGTGCATTAATGTCCATGAGCATTCCCCCAGGACACAGCCTTTGTGGTTCCTACATGGCCTTCTGGTTTCTCCTCCTGTCAGGACCAAATTACTTACTACACATCCTTTTTTTTAAATGCTTCCAAGTCCATGACTCTCCATCAGTTTTTAGTAGCCTGAGATCTGGCCCTTGATTTCAGGTATGTGTGGTAGGTTCAGGGAGCACAGACCTGATCTGAGTCACTTTATTGCCATCTGCAGAGCTGCAGTTTTCCCAGCACACCTCCTGTCTGCAGGGGCACCTCCACGGCAGGTCAGTCCTTTCTCTGGAGCCCTGACTCCACCGGCCGCCGGACAGCTCGGTGCCCTGGATTTGCTGCCACCTTCCTCTGCATTTTCCCAAGGAGCATGTTTCACTTTCTGTGTTTTCAGGATGCCATGTCCACTTAAAATCTTCTCGGTGCATGCCCTGTGTTCATTATTTAGAAGTGCATGGGGAAGCCCCTTCAGCTCTACCTTATTGTGAGGGCTGTACAACTGTCTCTCAGCCGCCTGCTCTACTCATCTGCTGCATTATTGCTGTGAAAGCAGAAGCCGTGTGTGGAACAGATGCTTGGAATGGAATTGGGATCCAATTACTGCACTTTTCCAACCTTACATCCATTGTCTAAACTTGGAGCAGGCATATTTTTATTCCCTGGTGACACTATATAAAGAGACAATTGGCATTGTGTTTGCTGGCTGGCTGGTTGGCAGAGGAGTGGAAGCAGCAGCAGCACTATGGTAGGTTTTATTCTTTCCTGTGTCTATTTATCTCTGCATTTTTTTTTCTAACCCTAACAATTCAAACAGAGCAGTAACGATCACACGGGTCCCCATGAAATCTCATACTTGGTATTACATCAGAATGAAGATACATCCCATAGAGCAAGCTGTGAACTTCCAAGGACTTTTCTGCACGTGTCTAAGAAATGAGTAAGGCAGGGAACACAGATGCACTTGCTGAAGGGAAGAGCTCACACATCTCCTTCCAGGACTAACACACAAGGGCAGCAGTGGCTGGCATGGCTGGTGCTAACAGTGCTGAGGTCTGTGATGGTGTGATGTGGGGTGAGGGAGAGGGCTGCCTCCATAACTGCAGCTCTGCCAGCCTGGAGACTGTGGGAGAAGCAGGGATGCTGCAGGAATCTCTGTGTCTCATCTTTGCCCTGCTCATTAATTTCTTCTAGCTCTGGGACTCCCACAGCCACCTCTGCACCAAAGGTGAACCTGGTGTGATTCCAAGGCAAAGAAGAACTCCTGCCTAAGAAGCAGTAGACAGACTGGGCTCTGTCTTTGTCTTCTGCAATTTCGGAGGAATGACTACAACATTTTATTTATTTATTTTTAATTTCTTTTTTTTAAAGCTGGTTATTTTCTCTTAGCTTATTTTTCTCCTTTCTGCAGGTCCTTTATAGGCTGTCTTAGAGTAACACTGCCCAGTGGCTTCCTGGGGCTATGGAATATTTGATTCTGGAGAACACCAGAAAGGGACTTGCATATGAAAAGCTTTCTCAAAACTTACTTCAAACCTGATCTTATTTAAGCAGGTGATGAACATGATCCAAGCACTGTTCTGAGCAGGATAAACCCACATTCAAAGTAATGTCTAAAATCCACACACAAAACCAGGTTCCATTTTCAGTCAGTGGTGTCACACTGAGCACACACGCCGCTAGTCATGCTCTTCACCACTGCTTTAGAAGTGAGCAGTTCCTGCTGCTGATTGTGCCTCTTCACTTGGGGATTTACAGGATTCCCTTTAATCAGCTTCACTAAAGTCTAATTGATCCCTTTTGTGGGGTGGGGGCAAGTGCTGGGTGTTCGATTTTCTTTTTCCCCTCTTTTTAAACATTTTATCTGCCAGTTTTCTTCTCTCCTATTCAGTCCACCACGCTGCTTGATGTTTGAAGATTATTTCAGGACATTCTGTGGTGAAATTGCTTAAGTTGGGAGATGTGATAATACAGTGAGAGACTATTCTGTGTCCTCACTTCCAGTTCAACTGACAGTTCTCTGCAGTGGTTCTTTTCATTGTGCCTTTTGTTTTGGGAACATATCTTCTGAGGTACCTTACTATACAGGGACACATGAAACAGATTTAAAATGGAAAGAAAAAAATAGCCTTAATGAAAGAAAGCTGAAGAATATCTTTACATAAGGAAGTGATCATTTTTTATTAATCAGAGGGAAATGTATATGTAATTATGCTAGATGAACTCTGTGGGGAGGTTTTTTTCTCTTTTTATGATGTCTTAAGGGATTTATAAATATTACAGAGGTTTTATAGCATCATAATATTTCAGATGTGCAGTAAAGCTACTTTCAAAGGATTAATGCAGACAAAGCAGCATAGTAAAAAATAATTACAAGTCAGCCAGTGCTACTAGACTCTGACATACAGGGCTGATGAGAGTGAGAGGGGCAGGGTTCAGGGAGATAATTTTTCTAACAAGAGCAGACCACACAAGTGCTGTGGAATGGAGCTCTGAGAACTGTCTGCATCCCCCTGTTAATTCCAGGGAATTTCTGTGAAGTTGGGTCTGTGCTGTCTCCCCACACGCTCTGTGCTGATGGAGAGAAGGAAGGGAAGAGAAGACATGGAGGGAGGGAAGGAAGGAAAGAGAGGGGCACCTTTGTTTTATTCCCAAAACACTCCTGTTTATTCAGTTCAAGTGACACCTTGCAGCAAATTCCGTGTGCTGAAGGCAACTGTGTACCCCAGAATAGATTCATTCTGATCAAATGTGTTTTGCAGCTTGTTTAGCTGTCTGGAATGTGCCACCTGTAGTGGAGCAAGCACTGACATCAGAGGAGCAATGCTGGTTTCACTAGCTGGAAATGTTGGACTGCTGAGGGGGGTGTGCATGCCTGCACATGTGTGTGTGTGCCTGTCTGTGAGCACAGGGGACTGTGTGTGTAAAGAGGGGCTCCTCAGCTGTTTACACAGAGGAGGAGGATGTGTATGTGCCAGAGAAGAAACTGTTCAGTGGGGAAAGCAGCCTGTGAACCTTGGGCCACAGAGGTTGAGCAGTCTGCGGTTGGAGAGGCTGTGAGATAAGTTTGGGGAGATAATGCATTCTTTCTGTATGTCTGTGCAGGAGAAAAAAGGAGCCTGTGATTAGGAAAGGATTTTATGTGGTGCAGAGGAGAATGCTTTAGTGCACGGGAGTGTGAGGCGGGGAGGATGCAGTCCAACAGATTTTTGTATCTAGCAGGGATCAAAGGTGTCTGTGTGGGTGTGTGGGAGGCTGGGGCTACGTACAAAATGGAGTGAGGACGAGAAGGGAGGGGTCTGTTTGTGAGTGCAGAGTGGGTAATGAAAAGATCTTCTTTTCCTGATATTGTGGGGTTTTATTTGAAACAGGCTGTTGCCTGTTGGAAATGCAAATCATGCCCTTAGAGCTGTTTATGGTGCTTACCCCTCTAGACTGTCCCCTCAAAGGCATGTGCTTGGGTTGGCCTTATGCTGCTCACCTGTCATGAAAAGGACCTAAACAGTCCTAAAAAAGAGTGGCTTGTCCTTAGTTGGGATATTTGGTGCAGATGCAATTTAAATAATCTCAGCAGAGCAAACTTGTGAGGCAATTATCAAGGAAATGCCTGTCCAGTGCTGCAAAAAATCCCTTGGATGGGCCTGACATATAACTTTTGATTCAGAAGCTGGATTCAATGATGACAAAAATTCAAAGACAAGAAACGTCAGCACTGAGATCCCACAGTGGATGAAAAACAAGGAGAGAGCGTGATGGATGAAAAAGTAATAGTAACTCAGAGTTAACATCATACTGTGGATCACAGCAGGGGACAGAATCTGGGTGAGATGATGGATGATTCTGTCTTTTCTGTAGTCACGGACATAGCTGCAGAGGAAGGAAGTATAACGTGTGGAACAGGGCAGTGTAAAGCTGGTTGTATCTTACATGTAGTTTGCCTTGGGCTGAAGGAACAACTAAGGGTACAAGACACCAAAATCAGGCTCTTAATAGTGTACAGCACTGTTTTCCTCTGCAGGACTCCCTCCCAGGGGACCTCTTATCCATTGGTGGCTTCTCTGGTAAAATAATCAAGAGAAGAGACAATAAGTTGCTGAGTGGGGAAACGTTTCTGCTTGTGTTTTAACTTGGGCTGTCAGGAATATCAAACTGTCATCTGTACTTATTTAATTTTTGGAGTATTTTAAGGCATAGTGGAACAAAGAGGGAACCGACCTCCCCAAACCAAACCAAAAATGTGGCTTCAGTCTGAGTGCTGAATTTTCCCTGAGCTCCTGGGCAGAGATTACTGCTCTGCAAAGAGGTGTTCCGTGGAGGTTGGTGACTTCACAGCTGCTGGAGGGCAGAAGGGTGCCCCTGGCAGTGGGCACAGAGCAGTGCCAGCTATGGAGTGGGACCTTTGGTCATCTTGCAGCACCCTACCTGTGGTGCCAGATTTTCTGGGTTGTCTGCAGATTTCACTGGGAGGCTGAGATGATAAAGTTCTGCAATAATTCAGTGACACTTCCTTTGTATCCCTGGTGTTGTGAACCTGCTCTGGCACCAGCCTGTCATGAATTTATCAGGGTAAACAGTGCCTCACGTTCTGAAGCAAGAAGTAGCTGTATTTTCAGCTCCATCCTTCTCTGCATGTAGAGATATAAACTAATTCCCTCCCCACTTTTCTTTTAGGTCACCCTGAAACTTGAGATTTCTTTACTCTGATTCACTTGAATATACACTCCCCTCTGCAACACATGAAAAATGGACCTTTATTCTTCTATCCAGAGAGGCAAAGGCAGCAGCACAAACTGATTGTTTCTGCCTGCCTGTGTCACTGCACTACCCTTGTTCTCTCTGGCTTTCTGACACTGCCAGAGAGCAGAAATATCAGTCAGTGAAACAGCTCAGATTAAATGCCTGGTTCAACAGTTTTCTAGTGACCAGATTTTGGTGCAGCTCCCTTTTTTTTTTTTTTTTCCATTTAAAGCCTCCAAACTAAACCAAAACAGACCAAAACAACAACAAGAAAAAAACCCCAAACTTTAAAATCTAGGCTAATTGAGCTAATACTAGTAAGACAAATGAGTGATACGTGACAAGCCTGTGGTTTCTCTTCTAAAGTGAAGTGTTCTCTGCACAATAGGATGATTAATACACTCAGGCAGGAATATTAATAGGCTTGTTCAGTTGTTGCAACATTCTTCCCACTGCTGTTCTATTGAGGCCTTGGAATCTGAGCCCAGGGGACCCCCAGCTCTTCAGTTTCTCATCTGGCACGTTTTGTATGTCAGTCTCTAAGCACATGTTGCAAAGATAGAGCAGCTATCTTTGCAAAGTGCAGCTCGGCACACTTTTCATTTTACAAATGGGGAAATCAAGGCAAACAGAAGTGATGTGTCAGTCACCCACTTGCTTCTCTGTAGGTGACCTACTAAATCCTTGACAGTTTAGAAACTGTATGTTTGCTCAGTTCTGTTTTGCTCTTTTTAGTATGCCATTCTTTCAGAGAGATACTCCAGAGTCAGAATCCTGATTCTATTCATTAAAAAATTCTGGAGTGTTTGGAGCTGTCAAACAGCAGCACAGACCTATTTCTGTTCTAGAGCTGCCTTTTGATTTGCCTTATCCACAGAAAGACAGTGACAATATACTGTGTTCTGTTCCTGCTCCACCTACTTACTGCTCTGCCTTCCTCTTGGCAGCACCTGCCTACCCACCAGTCATGCAAGACCATACAGCTTCTTCTGTGGTTAGGGATTTCCTAGCCTTTCAGAGCAGGTAAACTGCCTTCCCACTACTGCACATACAAAACCCAAAAGACTGATGATCCAAGATGCCCTGTATGCTTGATGCCAAAAGACAGCTTGGAACTGGTGAGGGAAAGCCATTCCCATCCAACAGCTGTTCATTGTGAAATGTATTGGTGCTCTCAGCCCATTCCACAAGTGAGCAGATCATAAATAGGATCCACACCCCGAGCTTCAGCAGAAGAACTAAAGATAGGTTGAGTGACACGGGCATTGATGTGCTCTGTCACCCCTGGAGATGACTAACCACGGAGCAGCATTGACCCAACCTCATGTTAGGATTAATTTCTCCTAGTGCAGTGATTGTTCTCTGGATAATTAATCTTTAATCTTTTTTTTTGCCTTTAATAGGACTTCACTAATGTAAAGAAAGATTTGGGTGGGTTTTGCTTTGCTGGTCTGTTTTTAACAGACACTAAGCCGCATATTTAGGGTTTATCTGGCCCTTTCTTATAGTTACAATCCTAACTTAAAGCTTTACAGCACAGACAACCCATTAAACTGAGGAATAATGGAGGTATTGAAAGTATTTTGGCATTTAAAGTCAATAAAACCTGGAGCTGGAGCCCACTGCCCTTTATTGTGGTGCTTGCTTAAAAAGATGCAGATTGTTTGTGAGCATGGGGAGTACCCATTGTGCTGCAGATGGATGCTGTAGTGGGGCAGAGCAGAGCAGGAGAATGGTAAAGCAAGTTTTGTCTCCATAAAGACCAGCTACATGGATGCAGGAGAACCAGCTCTACCACCCCATCCAACAGCACGGCAGGCAGCCTTGTGCCCGGTGGTGAGTTCCCCAGACAGCTTCAGTGCATTCTGCTGGGTAACATCTGCTCTCTTGTTCCCTCGGGGAACAAATGCATGCAGCTACGTAGGACTGCTCCTAATATTTCCATTCAACATGGAAGTGTTGAAAAACTCCACCAGTCACCTCAAACTACATGGAAGTTTGCCCATTACTGCTCAAAATAACACGTATTTCATGAGGAAGAGAAGGAGGGAATCTGTTTATTCCAAAATCAATATTTCTACACTCACTAAACATTCCACTTATTCACTCCCCCCAGACCCCCCATGGCTGTGGTAACATTCTATCCTTATCTTTATCCTCACTACAAGTATATTTTTCCTTTAGTTTCCATTCCTATTTCCAGATTTTAGTGCTTTGCATTAGCTGACTGAGCTCGACAGTTCTGGAGTGTGCTATGTGGGTGAGTGTCTACCATAGCCCTAATTTTCAACCCAGGATCTAAACCAGGGCAGCTGAGTGCAGAAATCTGGCTGGCAAATTAAACTGATCAGACAATGTATACTTCAAAGAGAGTCAAGTGGGAATATTTCCTTGAGCTTCTCTGCTCCTCAGGATATTTGAAATCAGTATTGAATCTGAACTTTCACAGGCTTTTTTATTTTGATGAAAGGAGACAGTAGAAGTTACCTTCTGTTTCGTGCAGAATAGCCCAAACTAAGTAAGATTAATTTCCTGTGACACGAGAACCAGGTGGGACTATGATGATGAAGTTTAAAAGTCAAAATGATAAAGAAAAAAATAATCTGTCTGGAAGGGAACTCGAAAGGCAATATTGCTCATTATCCTGCCCAAGTGAGGGCAACACTGTGCTCAACACAGCGCTGTAAGCCTTAGGAGTCACAGATTTGGTTCTTTGCTGCAGAGTCAGAATTGTATTGTCTTAGGCAAGCTGGTTGGGCCCTTATTCAAAGATATGTAATGAAGTCTAGTTCGGACTGATTTTTAGTGAGCATTAGATTCTTAGATAGATTGTGTCTCTTTCCCAGTATTTCTCTGTCTCAGTCTTCAGCCTACAGCGTAGTGATAAAAGCAGGTCCCTCCTTTTATTTGACTATCTTGAGTATTAAAATCATATGGGCTAGTAAGTCAATGTACTGTACTGTCATAGGTTTGTGCAAGAACACAGACTGCCCTCTAAAAGTGGGAGGTGCTCCTACTTCAGAATAATCTCTTCAGTCAGTGTAGGTCCAGACAGAGCAGACTTAGAACATTTCTATGTGAGTAGGAAATGATATAATTTCCCTTTATAGTTCTTGAAATGAGTCTTCATGTAGGGCCTCATATTTAGTCTGGCTGCCTGTCCCTGCATGGGAACTGGGAATAAGGAGTCCCTGTAGCCACTTAACTGGATTGCTTCTGCTTCTTGAGAACAGCAGCCTGGGAATTTAACTTACATCTCCAAGTGAGACTATAAGTTTTCACCACTCTTTCAGTAGTACAGAGCTCTAAAAAGCCAGTGCAGAAGGGTGAGTGGTCTCCTGTGTCAAATGATCTGGCATAGGTGGCTCTACCCGAGGAACAGGTAGTCCCTTGGGTAGACAAGCAGTGGACCAGTTGTGATATTCAGAGTCACACTTTGGGTACCTTTGGGTGCTTTCCAGGCAGGACTGTGACAAATTGTCCTTGTTTATTTGAACTGTCATGTTCTAAACCAGACCAAGGGAATGGTAAAAAGCCTCAGTAAGAGATTCATCTGTTACTAACTAGTACTTTTTTTCTTTCCATTTTTATCTATCTATCTATTGTGAATTGAATTCTTCCATTTTTATCTATCTATCTATCTATCTATCTATCTATCTATCTATCTATTGTGAATTGAATTTAAAACCTTGTTATAACAAAACACAATCCTCTTGTGTTACATGACTGTATATATTTTATCTTCTGTTAAAGATGGAATTTATTTTCATGGGTGGTTAACAGAAAAAGTCATATATATTTGGACTTCTTTATTTGTATTACAGGCTCCAAAAAAGGCAAAGAAGAAGATAGAAGGTGGTTCCAATGTATTCTCTATGTTTGAACAAACCCAGATCCAGGAGTTCAAAGAGGTTGGTCACCACTCTGCTGTTCTCCGTAGTCTTCTGTCATTGCTGATGAATAACACAGGTTTTGTTTGTAATCCTTATTCGGTTCTCCAGCTGCTCTAATAAAACACACAGTTGTTTTCTGAATCATCTCTGTGGTTTTGGCTAGTATATAATTTTCCTTGTGTGTTTGTTTGTTCTCTCCTTCATTCTTTCTTTCATTCTTTCTCCTCCTCTTTCTGTCCATCCCTTACTCTCCTGGTTCAAACTCTGAACTTATTTGAAAAGCCCCTAAGCCCCCACCAAAAAATAAAGGAAAATTATAATTTCACCTACTTTAGCCCCAATTCAGGAAAATACTTGAGCACATGTTTAAAGTTACATTTAAGTTGTATTTTAAATAAACACAGTCTTACATTCTCAAGTATTATCCTGAATAGAGAAGCTTGTGGAACAAGGGATTTCATTGGTGGACTGTTCCACAAGAGCAGTGGAAAACATTCTTCTGTGGCCTTCTATTACTGCCCACAAACTAGAAACAAAAGTACAAAGAAGCCCTCAACCGACTCTCTCCATAAATGCCAATAAAACAAACCAACATGTTGAGATTAACAAAGTAAGCATCCTTTAGCTCCTGGAGACTCTGGTATTTCCATGCCTTGTAGGTTCTTTGACCACTTACCTGTGATGATGTAGATCTAATGGGCTGGCATAAAAGCTGAAGCATATTAAAGGCAGATAATCTGATGAGTTTATACTCTTTTTTTCTGAGTGGACATTCTAGAATGTGAGGCCATCACACTTTGCACTGGTTTGTAATTTTGAATTATTAATTTCCTCTCATTTTTTGCTAACGCACATATGTAATTTCAATTTAACAAATGGCTACTGTTTAATTTTGTGTATGTGGCTCTCGACTCTACTTACCATGAGGATTCCCACCAGTCATCAGTGGTGAGTGAGACTGAAAGCCCATGAAAAGGATTGAGAATGCAGTCCGGGTAAATTAATGGAAACCACAAACCTTTTCCCCACAGCTGGTGGGAATGTTTCACACTCTTCTCCCACCTTTTCTCTGTATCCTATGAGTTTCCAATTTTATTTTCTCCAAGGACTACTGTTTGGAAACGTACTAACAAAAAGAGGAACTGGTCAGAACACTATTTCATCTACTCTACATAAGATAATACCAGGAACATTTCTGGAATGACAGTAGCAGAATAATGGCAAAATCATGAGGCAGTGGAGTGGTCCAGTGAAAACCAAGACCATGTTGTGTCTAAAAGCTGCATACTTGGGACAAGTGCTTCTGAAAAGCTGGTTTTGATCCAAACATTTTTATGTAGCGATTTCCAGCAGCTCACCAGGAAAGGCTGCAGCGTTGCTGCTACTGTGTAATTTTAAGTTCACCCATAGCAAATGCTCTTCTGTGAGCTTGCTCAGCTATGCTTTGTTCTTCATATTTTTTTCTGGTTTGCTTCCAAATTATGGGGGTCACCATTTAAAGCATGGCCCCCTAAAAGGAGGGAAAGCAAATTCTAAGAGTCGGGCTTTATTTTTTATAAGGTGATGGTTTTGCAGGTAAATGAAGGGTTACGAACGTGCATACTGCACGTGATCACATGGGCAAACTAGAATGTGAGCAGTGGGGTTTTGTGAGAAACCAGAGGTAAAACTACATGAAAATATGTTGATATAATATAGTCATGGAAAGAAGAGCACCCTGTAGGGCAGTAGACTTTAAAACTCTGAAAGTTACTGTAGCTGCAATGGGCTAGCTGTGTTCTCAGGGGAACATCATCTTTCATGATAATCCCGAAGTAAGAATAACTCCTGGTCATTGTGAAGCTGCACTCTCATATTGATGTGCATGTCAGATAGATAACCAGCTTCAGAGACATGCCTGCTTCTGCTAAGAACCATACTAATTCCCCAGAGTATCACCAGGAGGAATCTCAGGTCATTAAAATATTTCAAAATCAATGAAACATTAAAAGTGTGGTGGCAGTGAATAAACAGATATGCAAATAGGTAAATAAATAGAGTGTAGTTAAATAGCTGGCATGGTAAATAATAGTTAAATAAATTCTGTGTTGGCTGAAAATAGAAGAATAACTGTCTTTTTCCTATCAAAAGTTAAATTTTGCCTGACACGAAGTATTTAAGGTCAACACATCAAGGTCAGACAGAGCACGGAGTACAGTCTGAAAAATAAAGTTTATTGGAAAGGGAAACAAACTTTGAATAAATAATACTATGAAACCTGCATTTCTCTCTACCTTTGACAATTCAGCAGTCTCTGTATGATGGATCATTTTAAGGCCCAGAAGAAATAGACTTTAACTTGATAGCAAAGAGATATCTACAGTAATTAAATGTTTTACAGAATACGATAGCTTCACAAAGGAATGAGGTATGAGAAAAGTACAAAAGACACAGATTAATCACCGACTAAATCCTCCCTAATTCAAACTTTTATGGGTTAAGGCCTGAATGGCTGGGGCTGCCAGCATTGGCTTCAGCCCAGCTACACGCTGCACTGAGCATTAATTTAGTAAGGAGAAGTTTGGGTGGGTTTAATTAAGCCCCTTGCCAAGATACAGTAATGTGTTGAAAGTGAGGAAAGTGCAGTGATGTGGCATGATGTGGCTGAATCAAAGGAAGTTAAATATCCTTTTTCACAGCATGAGCAGAGCACGGCCCTGGACTGGTGTGGGTGATTGCAGCACTGGCCCGTGTGACAAGCCAATGGCAATAAATTTCCCTTTTTCTTCCAACAGGCTTTTACCATCATGGATCAGAACAGGGATGGCTTTATTGACAAAGCAGACTTGAGAGACACATTTGCTGCCCTAGGTAAACCAGTAGTAATAATTAAATACTAAGAAGAAATGCAGTATACATTTCAAGAAAAGTTTGTGTTAGAATTACAGTGGGGGGAGTAACGAGATACACAGGAGGCAGAAGGAAACCTGTTCAGTTTGATCCTCCTCCCTTATGGTAGGTGCTACCTTCCAACACAGCTCCAGCTGGGAAGTCTCCTGGGCAGCCTCTTTCAGAAGTGAAAGGAAGGTCTCTCTGGGACTCGCTGGCGGGTGCAGAAGAGCTGTGCAGCTGGCAGCTCTCCAGAGGCACCGATCCCTCCCCTGCAACTGTTTCATGAGCCCACCCAAGCAGGGTCCATGCCAGGCATTTCTGATTTGCCTCTGAATCCAGGCCTCACAGGCTGCACCTTCTTCATCTAGGAGCCATGCAATAGCTACCAATTAACGCTCTTGTCATGGACTAGCTGCCCCTCTGCCCACACAAAAGTAGGAGGACTTCAAGTGAAGTTGTGTGCTGTTGTGCATTTGTGTGGGGTGGAATGTGCATGTCATGAGATTAGGCACTACCCATCCCATGACAATCACAGTCCTGATAATGCCAAGCAGATTAAAGCAAATCTTCCCAAGGAAAGGAAAAATCAAAATGCTCATGATCCCAAACCTGGAGTTGTATCCTTGTTGCAACATCTGAGGCTTGAACAGTGATGTAGGCATTTGGGCTTTTGCCATCTGGATATTTTTAAAAAGAGTTTGATAAGAATCTCCAGTGCTCCCTGGGGTGGAATCAGAAGCCAGCAAAGTCAGTGCAAAGAGCAAGAGCTCCTGAACTCTTTATTGTGACAAGGTGGTTTGCAAACTTTGGCCTGTAGCTACTGTTAGCCTGAAATGTTTATTTCTTAAGGCAAAGCTCTGGTATCTTACCTGATCAGTGAAGCTCCTCAATGCCTATAAAGTACAGTCATAACAAACTACCGTTCAGTTTGAGTAGGGTTACTAAGGACTAAATTCTTATCAATAAGGATGGGGAAGGGATGTGACTCCTCAACTCATCCATCTGCTCAGAAAGGGGCCTCAATATACATGATGGCAAAGACTGAAACCTTGGATTCACTTCAGCCTCTTTGAACTACATTGATATCAGTGGGGCCCACATTTCATCCAAGGTAAAAAAAATGAAACCCCAAAACAAAAAGAAAAAAAACAGTTTCTTTGGAAGTGCCCCTTCTTTTGGCCACTGCTGGCCACGTCTGTATTATTTATCCCTCTTACTCCTTCAGTCACCCTTTGATCTTGGAGCCAGATCTGCCAATTTGTTTTACACTAGGGTATTCTGGAGTTGTGTTCTACCATGTTATTAGCAAAGTTGCTCAGAGCCCCGAGCTCCCCAGTGGGAGGAGATGAATGGGAATCATTTTTTGAAACACAATTTGTGATTTATTATGAAAAATGATCTCTGCTGCAGGTCGTCTGAATGTCAAGAACGAGGAGCTTGAAGACATGGTGAAGGAGGCGCCAGGTCCTATTAACTTCACTGTCTTCCTTACTATGTTTGGGGAAAAGCTGAAAGGTAAGTACCTTTGGGGGATTGGAGAGGTATCTGTCAGAGATCCTCAGCACTGAAATATCCTTGCAAATTATAATAATGTATCCACAGAACAATGCTTAAAGGCAAGGAGTGAGCTCCTTTTTTGCAGACAGAGCTGAAGTATGTGAGGGCTAAGGGACGGTCCAGAGGACAATTCAAAGGTGTGATTTCAGCTTACATAAGCTAACATGAAAGCAGTAAGCTGAGGTCCAGCAAGTAATGAAATCACAGCAGCCTGGAGCAGAGTGCAGATGAGTTATTCACCATCTGTTGCTCACTCTATAGGGTTATCACTCTTAGCTGGTTTAAAAGTATTTTCAGTATTCTAAAAAAAAAAAACCAACTTTCTGCACTCCTTTGGCTCATTGTGGAGATGTGACCTCTGCATCTTCCTTGCAGTCACAGGGCATGAAGGAGCAATGTGACCTTCCCCTGTGTTCTGTATCACAGTGGTCTAGCCTTGGTTTCAGCTGAGGTCAGTGGTGACTTTGCCACTGGGTGAAAATTTCACTGAATAACTCTGAATGGAGTGGACAGATTGAAATTATGTAATCTCAGTGGATTTACAATAGTAAGGGAGAAGGATATTGCCCATTGCCACAGAATATATAAGGATCACTGTAAGGAGTTCAGAAAGTGTGGGTACTAAGTTTGTTATGGAAGCTATTAATTTAGTGATCTCTCTTATACTGTTCATGGCTAGAAATGGCAAGAGAGGGAGTGTGAGGCCAAGAGAAACCTCTAGTCATCTTCCTAGATGCATTAGAGATAGCTGAAAGCCTTGTCCTTCAAATCAGGGTTGGCCTTAGCCAAGCACATTCTTAGAAGTCTGTCAAAATAAGTAACGAATCAAAACATTTATTGCATTGCTGCTGGACTCTGTATTGCTGAGCACAAATTTAGTGAAGGGCTTTCTACACTTGGGATAGAAAATACAGAGGTCTGAAGAAAAGAATTAATGCAGCTAGTCCTCAAAGAATTACACTATTGCAAAGGAAAACAGCATGTCTGGGAAGCACAAGAAGTGATGGAGAAGGCTGTAGACTGACACTGAGGAGGGGATTTCACTATCCAGACATTCATCTGTCTTGATCACAGTGGTACCTTTACATTCCAGATGGCACCTTGCAGGGTAGGCAGTGCTCTTCTACATAATCTTCCTTCTGGGATATGTCACTTTTCTTGTAGGTGCCCTGCTGCCCATCCCTGTCTATTTGTCATGCTTATGGTCCCACAGAGCATGGAAACGAGCTCTTCTGCCTTTCCCCTCTTCCCTCTCGTCTCTTATGATTGCTGAAGCTGGCAAAGATTCTGGTCCTGCCAGTTGTGTGGCCTAAAACCAGAGCCAGCACAGGAAGGTGAATGGGGAAGCATGCCCCTCTTGTCTGCAGGTTTCCTGTTGGCTACTATCAGAGGAGAAGGGTTTTTTTAATTTCCATTTGGTGAAGGGAAAATCACAGCTGTGCTTGTCATGCCCTTCTGGTTGGGTTTGTCATGCAAAGGAAGCAGAGCCAAAAGACTGCACATTCCCAATCAAAACTAATTGGGATGAAGAGCCTTTGTAGTGCAATTAGAAAGGGAGAAAGGGCTAGAGGAAGTGGGTATGAGAATTTTGCAACACTCTTTATTAGCTAAGTACCACTCAGAGAATTTGGTGAAAGGTGCTTTCTAAGTAAAATTTGTTGTGCTATAATTGATTTCTGTCATAAAGGGGAAGCGGGGATTTTTGGTCCGGGTTTTAGCTTTATATGTTGAAATCATGATGCCAGATGAACAGCTAACAAAACTCAGTTTATGTTAATGCCAACCACATGGAGCTGCTTCTACAGGGAGTCAGAATAATACAATTTGTACAGAAAACAGAGATGCCGCACATCAAAGAAACCACTTTATTTACCAGCTAATCAATAAAGAATGCCTGCTGCATTGCTTCCCTTCAAAGCCAGAGTCCAAGGGTATGACAGAGTAGAAAATGTAAAACACAGTAAGGAAAAATATCCCCCACGCAGTGGTGACTACTTAAAATGCAGTCCTTCCCTTGGAGCTGGAGGACATTTCTTTTCACGGGACAATCAGAACTCTTGCTAAATGCCGATGCCTTTTGTATTGATCACACATTCACTGCAGTCTGAATACACTGCCTCTAGCTTGGCAAAAGAATATACATGGCCAGTGTGTGACAAGAAAGAGACCACATATCCTCAAGGTTTATTCACTATTATATCCATCAAGATGCTACTACTAATCCTTGTGAAACCTTTTAAAAAAAGAAAACTAAGCAGGTGTCAGGAGTGTGTGTAGTCTCTGAGGCAGGGAACCCTGACTGATCTCTGTGCTGGTTCTGTCTCTGACAAACTTTGAAACTGCAGTTCTTTGTGTTATTACACTTTTTTAATCATGCTTTCAACATTTCAGCATCCCGAGTAGCTTCGTTTGTCCATAGGTCAGTCTACCAGCTTGTAAATTTGGTTTCCTACAGTTACAAATAGTGTTTTGTATTATATATACTACTGTAATATTGTTCAATGCTGGGGAATAGTCAGAAACAGAATAGATAGCGTGTCCTTTGGTGGGGGTTGAATCTGCCTGTGAATGTGCTCAGAAGCTGCAGAATTACAGAACAGTCAGGAACCCCAGCCAAGATTAAGGCCCCGTGAAAGCTAGTTCCTGACCCAAATTTTTTCCAGTCTAAATAGATGGGACAGATAAAGGATGGAAGAAAAGGAAGATTGTTACTATCATTTTACTGCTGGGAACAGAGGAGCAGGGAAATTAAGGTCATACCCAAAGTCTGCGGCCCAGCTAAGAGCAGAAACAGTCTTGGAGCCATAGTCTAGTGCTTCAAACCACCCTGTTTCTGCAGGCAGCAGGTAATGGTGAGACACTGAAGTGGGAGCTCACTGCAGAACGTAAGGGCAGCTCCCCATTTTACATTGATCGTTCTGTTCCCATTGTATTCCATTGACACTGATTTTATGATGAGCTCCCTTTCCTTTACTGAGGGAAATAACCTTTTCTGTATATAGTGAAGAACAAGTAACATCAAAAAGTGTTTTTACAAGAAGCGTACAGTACCAGATTAAAGGAAGCCAGTGAGGGAAACAGTTTGTTGTATTTTCATTTCTGAAAGCCACTAATCCTCTGGGTACTGATATTGGAGGCCAGTTCCTGGAAGTTTTCTCTCCTGCAGACACAGAATAGATATGAGTTATTATTTTTAAGCTTCTGACCATTGAACTCTTCACCTCTATTGTTTATCTGACATGACAAATGCTGCCGACTTAAGGAACCTTTGTCTTCAAACCTACAACTGCAGAATTCACCATTTTGCACTGTTTTCAAGTGCGTGCAGTTACTTAGTAAGTGTTGGGCAGCTACAGAAATACAGCCAGGCTTCTAAACTATACTTCCTTAATTTTAGGCACGGACCCAGAGGAAACTATTCTGAATGCTTTCAAGATTTTCGACCCAGAAGGAAAAGGCCACATAAAGGCAGACTAGTAAGTATATTTCAAATCTTCTTAAAAGAATTATAATAATCATAATAATAAAATCACAAGTTTAAAGAACAGCTTAAAAGCTCTATTTTCACAGTATTTTATAGACAGAGGAGCTGTCTAAAAAAACATTTAGCTTTGTAAGCCAGAGTGGAAAGACTGGACTGTTATATGAATGTATTTGTATACCAAAAAAGAGATGTTATTGTCTTCAGACATTACAGGAGGCAGCGGAAATATGATCACATGTAGGCCATTAGATAGCCTTTTTTGAAGGTCTGGATATAAATCAACACATGGCTCTTTGCAGATTAACTCCATATGTAAAATTTAGCTGAATGTCTGGTGCCTAACTCAGAGTGCTTGACTAAAATGGGAAAACTAGTCCCCTTTAAAAAAGAAGTGATCAATTTAATTAACTCTGGGACATGGCTTTAGTGAGGGCATTTTCCTTGTTATGTGTTTATGTGCTGTAAAATTCCACCAGATATGGTGGGAGCCAAACCAAATACTACTAATATTATGGCAAATATTGTCAATGTGGCTATTTTTTAAATAAGGAAGAAGGACAAAATCTGTATTCAGAACCTGTTACCCCAACAAAGCCAGGTAAAAGGACTTAAGTGCTAATTGCACAAATGTAGATCCTCATTACACTGCCAGAACAGTGTGCACAGGCCTTCAGGTAAATGGGATAAACGATATCAAGTAAGGGCAACGGATGAGGACATCCGACCTATGGCTACAGTGAAATGTTTGATGGGCCTAGATTTATGCATATACTTAACTTTCTTGGTGAATTTGGGGTCTATATTTTTACTGCAGCAGCCATTTCAGGTATATTTTATAAAGCATAATATGTATAGGAAATTTATGAGGGAATTGCGAGTTACAAATCTGCATTTGAATAAATTAATTCTGCTAATGTTGTGATAAAGTTAATGAAAACTAAACCTCTTACCAGAACCTCTAAGGTGGAGTTTTCCATCACATTATCTGCAGTTATTGATGTCTCCTGAAAGTTAGCTGAAAATGTAAAATTCATGCACAATATTTCCTTCCACTGCCAATCTGCTTTCCTACGATAGTACCCCAGTTTGTATGGGAGTCCTATTATGGCACACTATGCACAATAAAAGCAAAGAGACAGTCTTTTCACTAAAGAACTTCCAAATTAATTAAACAACAAGTGAATGCAGCAAGCAGTTAGTAGGAACAGAGGGTTAACAGTCACCCTGGCTGTTTTGAGATCAACGTTGTCCAAACAGCTTCAGAAGACCAGTCAGAGGAACACGTCAGAACTGACTCAAACAATCAGAATAAAATGCAGCCTGTTGCCAAATAGGCCAGATCACATGGTAGTGAAATCACCACCATGAAATACAACCTCCTGATAATACAAAACCCATGAAGTGTTATGCTCTCCACCACTATCCATAACAATATACTGCATACAAAATCTGCAGCTTGCCACCCTCTGTCCAGTTCTACATTCTTTAAATGCTGGAAGCCAGTTAGAGTTTGGGGCAAATTAGGAATGCAGTACCACACTTCAAAATGAAGATGGGAGAGAAATACTTTTGTTTTTCCTTGATGGAAAAGGTCAACCTTTTCCCCACCCCCACTGCACTGCTAACATTAGACAATTGTTTTAGTTCATCACCACAACAGAGCAGAATGTTTACTTATTAGACCCGAGGGTAATGTTGATCATTACAGAACAAACCATTAAATCAATTCCTTGAATCTCTTTGAGGTTTAACTTCTATTCATATGCTTCCAAAATTTAGACATTTGAATGTTTTGAAATATTTTTTATGTTGGCTCATACAGCCATTTCAATATGACAGTTAATGTTAATAAATACTATTTCTCCATATTAAAAAGTCTTGGAATGTTTCCCTCCAAAGCCAGCCGTGTTGACCTTTTAATCAGAATTTCTTTTTATGTTCATGTAGTTAACATCATTCTGGGAACTTTCATGTCTCTTCCCTCTGTGTGTTTCCACCTCTAGTCTGGAAATTACTCACTTAGCCCATCTGATGGTAGCTGGGATGGAGTCTTCTAACCTTTCCAGAATCTCCAGGAGATTATAGCTTACTTCTAAATTCAGTGACAGACTTTGTCTGCATCATTGTACCATGCATGAAATCCTTCCTATAGCATGATGTCAAAAAGAGAAAATGCTGTAGGTCACACTCTCAGCTGGCCCAAAGTGGTGTTGTGTTTGGGAAGGTCAGATGGTTAGGTCCCAAATGCTACCCACTGGACAAAGCGAGTCAGGCCAACATCAATCCTGCCTAATGCCCATGCCAGCAAAACCTTTTAGATTTGTACCAGATGAAAATGGATCCAGGGAGTTTTCTGAGCCTCTGGAGATTAGTTTGGCTGAGCTGATGATCCTTCTCATCATAGTTGTAGAGCACTGCTCGCTTCAACTCACCTGTTCTGCTCCAAGACAGCACTGTAGAAAGGGCACACCCAGCCAAAAACCAAAATGACCCTGAGATTTCACAGGTAATTTGAAAAAAGGTTTTGAAATTATAAGAATGTAATGAAGTATTTGTAACTGTAGAAGGAATTAATGTCAGCTGGGAAAAGAGGTAACGTTTAGACTCCTACACCAAGATAAATGGATATTCTTTTTTTGCCCAGAAGACTTTGTTGTTGTTGTTGTTGTTGTTGGTTGGTTTGTTTTTTGTTTTGAGAAGCGTATAGTTCAAAAAAGAATACAAAATGCACAAAAAAAAGTGCACAACCTCTAGCTTTGGAAATTGTGAGTCTTCCTTTCCTTATAAAATAAATAATGGAAAATGTGCATAGCTCCTTAACTCAGTCCTTCTTCCTTATGAGCGTGCCAGAGCCTACTGGGCTGTGCATCAGAAGATTATAATTAGATATTTGATCTTTTCTTTTCCCCTAAATACTTCAAGCATGTGAATAGAAGACACAGTGCTCAGATCTCCTTTTCATTCAGTCCTGTTTGTGATGAAGTTTATTTGTGACTTCTGACAAAATTGCTAAGTGCTTCCTTCTACTCCCCATGCTCCTTCCTCTGTCGTGCTTCCTACTGACAGTCGCTAGTGCTGTTTGCCTCAGTGCACATATATCCAATAATCAATTTATGCTGATGAGAGTGATTTCTCTCCTCTTGCACTCACTGATCATACAAGATTTCCACTTCAAAAAATGCAGTTATATAACCAATGGCCAGAATAACAAAACAGAAACAGCAACATGAGAGAAAGATGAAGAAAAACTGTTAAGTAAAGAAAATGGTAAGGTAATGCAGGAAAAATATATACAGAGGGTAAAGCTCTGTCTGTAACTTCAGAGTACTTCCCAAAACTTACCTGGATAGCTTCACTCTCAACTTTGTGGGTAAAATTCTTATTCATTACACAGAAATGCCTTTTTTTTCCTTAAGTTTTCCCTTTCTGTCCTTCCAAATGAGTTCTTCACATCAACATGAAAGAGATTCAGATATATATGTGCCTCTTATGCAAATGGGGATATGTCTTTGTTGTAGCCTTTTACTGGAAAAAAAAATACCTGTGTAAGAGATAGGAGGAAGTACAGTTGTAGTTTTGCCATCAAAACTACACTTTCATCTGAGTGACTTCTCACTCGAGATGCGTGGTGTGTGGGAGCAGAAGGGGAAGCTTTGCTATTTTGCCTGAGCATCTGCATCCACACTAGGTGAATTTGGTTCCTATGGAAGTGTTCCTGTGCAGCAGGCTTTTAAAAAAAATCTACCAACTAAACCAAATTTCTATACTTGTTTCAGCTTTGGGTTTTGTACAACAAACTGCTCATCTATTATCACAGATTTATAGTCTGGTTTACTGATCTAGAAAAAAATCCTGCTGATGTATAAATACCTTTGGCAGTAATAAAGGGAGACAGCTCTGCCTCTTCAGTGTGAACACAAACTCTTTGGGATGAATATAGGAATTCTTCTAGAGGAAGGGGAAATTACTAGTGCAAGTGAAAGGGATGTTTATGTGATATTATAACTGAGCTCATGCTGGTAGAGGTTCTAGCACATTGTGCAGGTACACGTGGAACACAGGAATAACTGGGTGGACTATAAAGACATTTTATCTAAAGGGGTTAGACTAGAAACAGTAAATTATTCTTCCTGGTTTTTCTGTTCACCTATAAACTTAGGTAAAAAAATTACATGCTCGACTGACTTCCTACAAGGGGTTTGAAAACAGCTGAGAGTCTGTTCCCAAAATATTCTCTTTGATGTAATTGCATAGGATGCAGATTGTGTGTGGGATAAGCGTCTCGTTACAGTGCTGTAACTCCAGATCAAGACATTGTACCGTGAAATACAACAGGTCTCATGCAGTTTCACAGTCTCCTCTGGGAATGACTGCATGCAAATAAAGGGATTCTCAGATGATGATTTGGAATAGCTGTTGGAGTTCTCTTTCAAGTCCTCTTTCTCATTTCATGCTCTGTTCCTTTCATCCTCAGATTTTACAGAAAATGTTCTCTCTTTTGGTTTTGTTGAGTGATCCAAACTTTAAACAGCAAGTGAGAAAAACTACCATTTTAGGTTAAGATGAGCATACAAAATCGCTGTATTTCAGTTAGAGCAATAACCTTACACAATTTTAAACCTCTATAAAATGTCACAAAAGCAAAATAAGCTGGCAGAGCGAGGCATTGACACTGATGGGTGCCCACAGAAAACCTCTTATAACATCATGTAAGGATTAACAGCTCTAATTTATGCGGTCACACAGATTTTCTTTCATGCAGCTTCAGGAGGGATCTTGCCATCTGAATTGTCATGTGCCATTATCACCCTTTAATCAGGTTATTTTGTTTTATTTGAACAGCATCAAAGAAATGCTTATGACACAGGCAGACCGCTTCAGTCAGGAAGAGGTAAGGACCTTCTTCTTTACCCAAAATAAGAACCCATCTCCAGCTACTATTCAGCAATTAGTATTCGCCCCTTTTTAAATGCATGAATTCAGACTGGGAGAATGAAATCCAGACTGGGAGAAGGTTGATGCCAGCTCTAGCAATTAGGAACAACTCAAAGCATCTCTACTGAATAGCTCCATGGCTAAATCAAAGTCAAACAGATTCTTTGGACTTCCAAGTGTAAGCATGGACTATCTCTTGCTGTTCTTTCCTATGATGAGCTGGGCAATGAATTTACTAGAGTTTGAGTGGGTTTGGGTGGGGACTGTGATCTGGTTTCTATTTCTGTGAGAGCTATTTTGTTTGACATCTGAAATGGGTTCTGAAATGAGGTACTAACTTTGTGGTTTGTGTGAGACTGAACATGGATTCTGCTGGCCGGGAGGAATTTCGAGGGACTTTCTTTTCAGAAGTGGGGATTGAATGGAGCTGGTTCATGGCAAGAACAGCCTGGAGTGCAAACTGTAGCACATTATTTGGCCAGGGCTTACCTGGATATCAGGGAGAGTTCTGTCTGAAAGGGAAATTGTGGCAATTCTAGCAGGACTGTATTGACTAGATGTGTTCTGATCCCTATTTCAATTTTACTGAAGCTAAGGGAAGAATTTCCATAGTGGTTAAGGGATCAAGGCAGCAGGGAGCTGCACTGAGCTGCACATGAAGTGCAGTGCATGTTGCTGTCCCACAGTCCTACGTGTGTAACACTTATCTCCTCTTTGCTTGGCAGATCAAACAGATGTTCGCAGCTTTCCCTCCAGATGTCTCTGGTAATCTTGACTATAAGAACCTCTGTTATGTTATCACCCATGGTGAGGAGAAAGACTAAGAGGAAGAAATGAGTTCCTCCTGTGGTGGTGCACCAAGTTGTTTCATAATGCTTTTGTGTGCGAGACAGAGGGCTAAGCATTCAGTATGCCTAGCCATGTGGACATCAGAAACGAACCAATAAAACAATCGAAATTAGATTAAAGTTATTTAATGCTCCTGTTTTTATAGAAGATGAAAATACCAATTTTGTGAATTTTTTCCCATCCTTTTATTTTTTTTTTTTTCTGTCAGTGGTTTGAAATGGAATTTTCTTGATGAACTGGTGCTTTCATGATTTATTGACAATCTTAATGTTCACCAGATGGCCCATTGGGCACTGGAGTGTTGCTTAACCTCTTGCCTTTTATGCATAAGCTCCATGTATTAATTGAGAACCCCTTTAACTTAGGAAGAGTATTTTGTAAATAGAATTTTGTTCCATTTCACAGCCAGAACACTCTTAAGCTCTTCTGAATATGCAGTAGGCCCTCTCTGTCTCAGTGCTGTGGCCAGTTTCATAAGCCATGTGACTCATTTGCTTTGGTGCAGAAGAGCAGAAGTAGTGGAATAGTGGCTGGTTTTCTCCCAGTAAAATTTATTTGGGTGCACTTAGAAACCAGTAAGAATTATTTTTTCCCTTCAGAGTTACCTTTATGACATGTAGGAGGGTGTCCCTGAAATAACAGCAACACGCAGTCCTTCACCCATTGGGCAGTAGCCTTGTTTTGGAGGTGGGCACACACTGGAAGGATGTGTTTCATCAAAGGTCCTTGAAAGTCTAGGGACAAAGACAAGAACAGAACTCAGGAGCTGTAGCCCAGTTACACATGAAGGCAAACTACCTCTCACTTCTACAACACAAGGCCGACGTCGATTCTAAAATGGGCTACAGTTCCTTGTATTTGGCCTTCTAGGAACTGGGTATGTTCTGCCTCTGTGGAATATTGCACGAATACTTCCTGTGTGGGAGTCAGAAGGATGTTGCAGCCAAAGTAAAACAAGCTTCTGCTGTTTTAACAACTAATGAAAATGGTTTCCTTTTGCATCAGTGTTGTTGGCACCACGGTCCCGCAGACTTTGAGAGGAAGTAACAAGTCACTTATTTTCCATTTCCATGCTAGTCTTTGTTGAAAGAAGATGAGGGCAAGGTGTCAAACTCTGCCCTCTCGAGGAGGGTAGAAATTACATTAAAAAGATGTAGCATGACTTGGAGATGCAACATTCATCCTCATCTGCATTTGTTGTTGTTCCAGCAAAACCCTGCAGTCAGTAGTACAGAGCAGCTGGAGTGATGGGGCTCTCGGCAGACACGAAGTTGATATAATAAATCTCATCCCTTGCCCCTATGTCCAGAAGCACTATGTATATTCCTTTTTTTCTAGTATGAGTGGGTGATTGCCAATTATATTTACCAGTAATTATGTCTCTTAAAAATATTAGTGGACAGAGCTAGGAGCAAAATTCAGCCCTTTCTTGCATGAATCTTGCTGAAGACGTGGAGAGGTCTTTAGCACTTCTTGCTGTACGTTCCTGTAACTTTTGGAGCAATTACATGGTCACCCAGGCCCGTTCCTCTCAACAAGGTGTGCAGCTTGACAGGGTTTTGGGAACTAGGAAAAATTCATGAAATGCCAGAGTCTACTCTTTTTCCACATCATGGCTTATTCAGCAGAAGCTGAGCTTTCCTGCACAAGTTGTTCTTACCTCTGCTTCACATGGTGGTTCTTCTTTCTCCAGAATTGTCTTCAGAGGTGTGTGACCACTGCTTATGGGATGGGGTTTTAGATAGGCAATGGGAGGTTATGGAGGTAGAGGATTTTTAGTGTAACAGTAGAAAAGATGATTTATGAGCTTCTGTTTTAGGCTTTTATGTAGACCCAAACAAGTGACAGAACTTCTCAGTAAAGGAAGCAGCTACTTATGGGAGAGGGCTGCAAAATGGATATTTCATTTACTGAGTTCATTTGGAAACTGATAGAGTGATGGGTCTGGAAAATGTTCTTGTACAGTGCAAAGTCTAATACTGTGATACGAGTTCCACAAAATCACACGGCCAACCAATTGAGTACTGACTGTGCCACTAGTATGGGCTGAAGTCACTCAGGTATCAGTCAGAAGGTGCTTATGGGTTTTGCATTGTTTAAAGTTTCAGAATGAGAATGAAGACTAGACAAAATGGCATACAGGCTTACCTCTGGCCTTCAATCTAGAGAGGTTTATTTTCCTCATGCAAGCTGGTAGGAAAAAACTTTGAGGATAATGCTCCTGAAAGATGAGGTCACATTTTTCCATCAAAGCGTGCCATTTTTTGATAGGTCCTTTTTAATCTGCTACTGCCTAGTTACATGGCTTCTTCAAACGCAGCTCTGTGGCATTTTAGGATGATGGAGCAGTTCCACACTGTCCCCTTCCCCTGGCTCCAGCCCCTGTCAGCTCAACACTAGTGCTCAGACATACACATCAGGTACTGGCTGAGAAAAAACTCCTTGCTCTTCAGTCACATCAGCTCCCTAAATTTTCTTGCCCGTCTGCAACCGTCATGGCTCTGAATGCACTAACAGGCCCTGAGAAGTCCCACCTGGAACCTCCACCCACACATGCTATCTGTGGGACCAAGAGTCCTAAAGTTCACCCCAGGGCCTTCAAAACTTTCTTGAGCTACACTCTTGGATCCACGCTGCTCCTTGGACCTTCCATATCACTGTGGGTTTGCCTCGCCGTCGCTGACCTGTCTATCACTCTAGCTGCTGTTGCCGGATGTACCCTGATCTGCAGCTTGACTTTCCAGCTTGTCTTGGGCCTGCTGTGTCATCATAGACCTGCCTGATGATGAACTTGGTTTGGAGCAGTGAAATTTGAAGCAAATCACCTAGTTGCCCCTACTTACCTTGAGCAATCTAGGTAGCTTTTTGGAGGAAGCCAAACCAGAGGCTTTGCTTGAAATTCAGTTCAAACTCCCTCCAGTTCCTGATGGGAACTGAACCAGGGTGCAGGCTGTGAGGTCCTCCAGCAGCTACCAAACATTCATGTGCCACCAGAGCACTCTCAGCCACCCAGAGCTCTCCTGACACCATGAAGTGGTTTGTAGGCTATATAAAGCCCCAAGTTCCATGTGACCCTGCCTATTTGCCTTCAGGGGTTTTGCAGTTCTGTTGCTCCTTGCTCATTGTTGCCCTTTTCTCTCTGTTCAAAATCCATTTCTTCCTTTATTTCCCGTGTGTTGCCCCAGAATTACTGCTCTTCAAGGGCACTGTAGCAAACGTGTCTACTACAGACTGATTGAAGGGCTCTTTGGGTTGGGTTGCATCACCAAGCTTGTAGCTCGTTTGGACTTCTTGAGCTCTTGGACCAACATGCAAGAGAGTTTGGAGCCATAGCCCTCCCCTTCTGCAAGGGGGCAGAACAGAAGTTCAGATAAATATCATGAAAGTATTACAGGCTTATTCTAAGAATCTTTACGAACCCCAATTTCATTTCAATCTCCATTTTCATTTGGGGACATAGGGTTCTGCTTACGGGTTTTGGATGCAGATTCAAATAACTAAAGGGAACAAAGAGCTGAGATTAATTCCACAAAAAACAGATTCTCACTAAGCATCATTAAAATGATCAGATGGTAACTGAACTTGTGTGAACCCTGGCAGTTGCTCTTCAGTGTCAGCCCTTTCACAAACAATTATTATTTGGATGGGAAAACCCAAAGAAACAGTGTAGAATTGATAATGTGCTTTATTAACTCTTAAACATTTAATCCTGTGAACCTTTCTGAAACCTTATGAATGCATAGAGCAGCCTTTGAAATATACTGTCATAAAAGGCAGAGAAAGGTTCTCATGAGTTTCCCCCAGCTTGTTCTGCTTGGAGGCAGGATGTTTGTTAGAAATGTTTGTCTGACCTGTCTAAACTTTCTAGGTAGCCTCAAGTCCAAAGCTAGCCTTCTATTTATGCATTTCCCCCCCACCATCTAACCTAAATCTTTCTGTCTGCAAATTAAGCCAATTTCATCCTTTGCATCCTCTTTGTAATGAACGTTAGCACACTGAAGACTGTTTATTTTCTTTTTCTCAACATTCTTTTTCCAATTTTTCTCTCAGCAATCTTTTCTACATGTCTAATTCTTCTTGCTCTCTTTAGGACTACCTTAAATTTATGCCTGTTTTTCTTAAATACAGCAAGTCGCCTTGGACACAAATTTCCAGAACCAGCCAGAATGGAATCATTATTTTAGGGATTGGTTGTCTGTAAAAAAAAACCAACAAACCAACACCACCCCCTGTGATTCAGTAGCAGTGAAGGTTGTGGATGTTTCTAGGAAATATGGGTAAAAGTTTATTCCAGCCCTCTCTTCCTTAGTAAATACTGGTTCTGATCCCACTGTAGCCTGTTCTGTCCATCCCAGAAACTTTCCTAGATCTGATTTCCCCCCCGTCTCTGTTGCCTTGATAATGTACCACCGTGGGTTATCTAAGGGCAGTCCATGAATTTTCACTAAAAAAGAGGCACAGGTTTTTAACGAGGCACAGATTGTCTGAAATATGAGTTTTCTGCGTGAAAACACAATGCAAATACTCTTTAACATTTTCATTAATGATCTGGATGATGGGACTGCCTACAACAAAGCCACACTCATCCCAGTGGTGTCCACTGATAGGATGAGAGAACAGACACAAACAGGAATGCTGTTTAATTCCATTTAAATGTTTGCACTGTGGTGGTGGTCAAATACTGGAACAGGTTGCCCAGGTATCTTGTATATCCATCACTCCATCTCAAACCCAGCTGGATATGGTCCTGGAAAACTTACTCTAGCAAGTGCTTCTGGGAGCAGGAGTTTAGGTCTAGACTGTCTCCAGAGGTGCCTTCCAGCATCAGTAATCTGTGGTGCTGTGGTGGTACACACAGCAGCATTGTCCATCCAGCCCAAATGACACATTTTATTGGGTTGGTATATGATCAGTCCATGCTGCACTGGGAATCTCAGATCATTTCCTGAGGAACTACAGCCTAACCAATTATTCTCTGAATTTTACTGGTACTGTCTTCTAACATGTAACAATCTGCACTGATCTTCAATTCCTCCTGGTGGATCCTTCTATATTCTTTTCAGTTTAAGGCTGTTCTGGATTCTATCCCTTTACTCCAAACTCTACATAAATTGTCTTAGCTTACTGTACACCATCTACAAATTTTGTCTGTGTTCTCTGT